TCATCAGGCCTAGACTAAAAATCTTCCAGCTCTCAGCGGATTTGCGTATCCTCATTTCTCACATCGCTCAATTGCACCCGCGATTCAAGCTGTGTTTGTTGCTGTGGATAATTCCTAGTAGCTGTCGATACGCGTAGTATGAGCAAGCCCAGCTCAGCAAGAGCGACCCGACTAGTCTCAAATCCAAGTCCAAGTCGAGATCGCCGTCGAAACTTAGTGCACGACCATATCGAGACGGAATTGTTGAGAATGCTCCACCACGACGGACGCGGCGGCGGCGGAAGTAGCTCCGGCGACGATCAACCGCAGCGCCCGTCCGGTGATCTCACCAACGCCGCCGTGCTAGTTTTAAACCGTTCCCAGCAATTTGAAGAGCCTTTCGCCGGAGAGTTTCGCGTGCCGTCGCACTCGTCGCCGCCTGGCGGCCGCAAGGGATTAGTAAAAGCAGAGCGCGACAGCGAAGGCGACCGCGACGACGGCGGCGACGTGAAATTCAGTCGACGACATTCGGAGCCGTCGCGTCGCGTTTCATCATCAACATCGTAAGCTTCCCCGCAGCCACGACAATTGTCTACGCGATTGATTTTAGAATCATTAACGAGATGCGTTTTTCGCGACCGCTGTTCAAAATCAACGTCCGCTGTGCATTTTTTACTCCGGTACCAACGGAAAACCCTCCTCACATTGATTACCGTGTGATCCCCTGGTCAGATTAAAATCCCGGAAAAAACGATCATCGCCGGAAATGGCGCCGCCGAACGCGGCGACCCGAGGATGCATCGACATCAACTCAAGCCCAGCAAAGAAGACGAGTCGCGCGAGTCCAACCAAACGACGACGCGTCGACGCGGGCGGTCGCACTTCATCCACAGCCGCCACGGCCCATCATGCTACTAGCAGGGCCGCCGCATTCGCCGCCGCATCAGCCGCTGCAGCCGCCTCCATAGCCGCCCCCGCCGCATCTAAAGGAGCAGGACAGACGTCATCTCAGCTTTCGGACTTGATCAGGCGGTTGCCTTCTCCCACTCCCGAAGGTCGCTGGACTTTTGAAATGAATGCGCAACTGTTAAGGGAGATGCAGATTCACACCACCAGGCACGTTACTACTGCCACCACCACCGCTACTGCTGCAGTCCCCACCAACACTGCTGCCACTCCTCCTCCTCCTGCTGCTGCTGCTGCTGCTGCTGCTGCTGCTGCTGGTAGTTCTGCTGGTTTGGATGCAGCAGCGATAGCTGAAGCCATTATGCGGCAACGAGGGATGGCAGCAGTGGCTCAGCGCTTTGCACACCCTGAGTCCGCGGCTCTAAGTCCGAGGTTTGGGTCCGAGGCTCACGCTCGGAGGTTTGGTTGGCCCGAGGCTTGGACTGACAGGTTCGGGAGGCCTGAAGCTCACGCTCACAGGCCCGGGTCCGAGCCTTTGAATCGTAGTCTGTACGAGGCAGCAGCAGCATTGGGAGCAGAAGGAGCAGCAGCAGCACAAGGGAGCAGGAGCGGCCTGAGTGGGCAATGCAAACTATCAGCATCGCATGCTGCACCAACAGGTGTAACACCAGGAGGTGCAGCATCAGGTGCAGAAGCAGCGGCAGCAGCAACTGCTGCTGCTGCTACAACCACTACCCGCATGAGTACATGCGGTAGAGCGCTTGGTTCCCTCAAGGTCCGTAGAAGCACCAGCGCTACTGCTCCTGTTGCCACCTCTACCACTACTGCTCCTGCTCCTGCTACTCCCGGTGTTGCCCGTTCTGCTGCAACTCCTCCTACTGTTACCACCACGGCCTCAGCCACAGAACCTCACCCACTCCCCCAATCCCGTCCTAACTCGCTGGCCCGAGCAGCAGCAGCAGCAAGCATAGCCCTCCCCAACTTCTCCCTTCTCTCCTCAATCATGGCTGCCGCAGCCGCATCCCCAGCAACAGAAGAACCGCCTTTCCACGGGCTCTCTCGGGCGCACACAGCCCCCCCTCTTCGCAGCAACCTGGCCACACCATCGCCCCTTTCCCCCGGCTCTTCCCCTACCTATGGAGCAGGCCTCTTCCCTGCCTCCTCCAGCGTGCCTGGGGCCAGGCATGGTAATCGCGCCGGTCCCGAGCCTGCAGGTTCGGTGAATCTTGCAGGATATCCAGCAAGTCGGCCCAGCCCATCTGTTGCCGGGGCGGGAGCAGCTTCAGCCGGAGCAGGCGCAGGTGCTGAAGCCCGATCAGGGTCGGCTGGAGCAGCAGCGGCCGGAGCAGGTTCGGTGGGAGCAGGTCCGGCTGGAGCAGCGGCAGGAGGAGTGGTTTCCACGGGCGGCAACCACAGCAGCAACAACAACAGCAACAATGATGGCAATGGCATGACTGTGGAGAGTCTGCCTGTGCTGCGAGTGTCCTCAGACAGCAGTCGCATGGTGGTGCCCCGCAGTGCATGGGCCCAGGGGCTTGTTGTTGATCACATGCTGGGACGAGGAACAGTGGCTGCTGCTCCTTCTCTCCATGCTGCTGCTGCTGCTCCTGCTGCTGCTGCTTATGCTGCTGCACTCGCCTCTGCTCCACCATACCCACTCGCCTCCGCTCCCTCACCTCCTCCCACCTCCACCCAATACCTGCCTGAAGCCCTGCCTCACTCCACCCTTCATTCCAGCCACCAGGTTTTCCCACCAGCTCTCCTCGCTCACTTGCAGCTTCAGGCCTTGCAGCTGGGAGACCAGCCAGGGATATTCTCCCTTACTCACGCTGCTGCGTGGGCTGGGCTTGAGAGGCAAGTAGCTGCGCTACAGCCAGCAGGATCTGGCACTGTGGGAGAAATGGCAGCCGCTGCAGCCGGTCCTTTCTCAGCTGCTGCTGCCTGGGCTGGGCTGGAGCAACGAAGAGCTGCGCTACAGCCTGCTGGGGCTGGTACTGCGGGAGGCGTAGCAGCCGCTACAGCCGGCCCGTTTTCGGCTGCTGCTTGGGCCGGCCTTGGACCGCAAGCAGCTGCGCTACAGCCAGCTGGGGCTGGCACAGGGGGAGATATGGCAAGGGAGAGAATGGCAGCTGCTACAGCCGTCCCTGTTTCAGCTGCTGCTTGGGCTGGGCTTAAGAGAGAAGCAGCAGGGGCTGGCACTGTGGGAGAAATGGCAGACAGCCGGACGGCAGCCGCTACAGCCAGTCATTTTTCGGCTGCTGCTTTGGCTGGCCTTGAGCCAGGCACAGCTGTGCTACAGCCGGCTGGAGCTGGCACAGAGGTGGAAACTGCAGGCAGGGGAATGGCAGCCGCTACAGCCAATCCTTTCCCTGGTGGGGCTGGCACACCCATTCTTCAAGGAAGCCGTGAGGTCGCTACTTTTGGGCCAGGCAGGACCACGCTACAGGGCAAAAGCAGCCAAGGCGTGCAGGCAGAGCGTGGTTCCAAGGGTGAGGATGGGAGAGAGAAGGAAGGTGACAGGGAGGAGCCAGAGGGGGTATACATTTTCGGGCAGTTGATATCCCCTCGAACACAATGAAAGTCTGTTTCTGAGGCTCTTTGGATATTGACTCCTGCCGAGCTAACACGAGGGGGTCTACATGTTTGGCCAGCTGATACGGTATCCCTGCAAACACAATAAGTTTGCTGCTGCAAGCAGCAGCAACTATTTTTGAAGGAAATTGGTGCTCAATTTTGCATGTTCCTGCCTTGGACTGCACTTGCAAGTCAAATGATAGTGTACATTGTTTCTATGTACATGTCGTATTACGAACCCATGCTTGTTATTTATAAGAATATTAAAATAAACCCAGTGCTGCTAAATGCCCCCAGACTTGCATTGCTAAGTTATGCACTAGAAGAAACTTTTCTTGATCATTCTAGGTACCCAGTAGTGCATAGCAAGGAGGAAAGACTTTTGAGTCGACTCATAAGTCATCTTGTATTGCTATGGATAATGGAACGCACACAGAGAAAGAATTGCTGACTAAACTACCTAACAGTGCACAGGGTTAGAACGGACTACCCAATAGTGCACAGGGTTAGAACAAACTACCCAATAGTGCACAGGGTTAGTACTAACTACCCAATAGTGCACTGAAGAAGGAACTACCCAATAGTGCACAGGGTTAGAACGAACTACCCAATAGTGCACAGGGTTAGAACGAACTACCCAATAGTGCACAGGGTTAGAACGAACTACCCAATAGTGCACTGCTGGGTGGGAGGCATGGGTGCTAGATTTAAGACTTCACAAAACACCACGGACGCCTGAGCACAGGGTTAGAACGAACAACAGATATACACCCAGCTGCTCGATTCTTGTCGAGATGGTAAACAAACATTAGGCCCGGTTCAATCCGGGCGGGGCTGAACTGACGCAGGGCTTAAAACTGTGCTCCCCTATTGAGGCGCCTAGAGAATGGAAGGTATTTAACAGGAAGAACAAATAGAAAATAATAGGCTTCTGGAGGTATAGTCCATTCAGACAACACAACACATCAATACTTGATCGCGTGATTATCTAGTCTTGGTGCATTGAAGAAGCGAGAAAAGCAAGCAAGCTGGCGGGTAGAGCAAGAGACATACCGGTACCATATGATACAGGTGGTGAGGAGATGAAGTGGCCCACGGGCCAGACGGACATGCCTCATGCACACCCACATGCCTGCCTGCTCCCAGGCACTCAGCAGTCAGTCGCAGCACGAGGAGGAGCAGCAGCAGCAGCTACAGGGTGTTTTGCCATGAGGCCCAGCAGGGTGCGGACATGAGAGCAGGGTCAATAGGCTTGGTGAGATAAGCATCCATGCCTGCGTCGAGGCACTTGCGGTGGTCGCTGGTCATGACGTGTAAAAAGTGATTGCTCCCAGGCACTCAAGAGTCAGCAGCAGGAGGAGGGGCAGCAGCTACAGGGTGTTTTGCCATGAGGCCTAGCAGCGTGCGGGACATGAGTGCAGGGTCGATGGGCTTTGTAAGGTAAGCATCCATGCCTGCGTCAAGGCATTTGCGGTGGTCGCTGGTCATGGCGTGGGCTGTGAGAGCCACTATGGGCGTGTGGGGTGCGTGCATCCAGGGATTCAGGAGTCAGCAGTAGCAGGACGAGGAGGAGCAGCAGCAGCGACAGGGTGCTTTGCCATGAGGCCTAGGAGTGTGCGGGACATGAGTGCAGGATCAATAGGCTTCGTGAGGTAAGCATCCATGCCTGCGTCAAGGCATTTGCGGTGGTCGCTGGTCATGGCGTGGGCTGTGAGGGCCACTATGGGCGTGTGGAAAGGCGTCCCCGCCTCCCCTGCTCTGATGGCTGCTGTGGCCCCGTACCCGTCCAGCACCGGCATCTGTGAGGGGGGAAGGGAGGAAGGGAAGAAGAGAAGAGAGGGCAAGAGGGAGGGAAGGGGAGGAGGCATTTGCGGTGGTCGCTGGTCATGGCGTGGGCTGTGAGGGCCACTATGGGTGTGTGGAAAGGCGTCCCCGCCTCCCCTGCTCTGATGGCTGCCGTTGCTCCGTATCCGTCTAGCACCGGCATCTGTGAGGGGAGAAAGGGGAGGGGAGTGGTAGGGAGAGGGAGGAAGGAGGGAGGAAGGAGGGAGGGAAGCAAGAGGACGAGGGGAGGAGGGGAGGGAGGGAAAAGGGGGCACGAGCGGGTTAGACGAGAACCACACACTCACACTCACACTCACACGCCTAAATGCATGCACACACACACACACACACACACACACACACACACACACACACACACACACACACACACACACACACACACACACACACACACACCCACGCATGTCTACAGGCCACCAGCAGCACAAGCTCACCTGGCAATCCATCAGCACCGCATCGAACCGCCCCGCATTGCTGGCGTATGTGGTCAGCACCGCATCCACTGCTTGCTGCCCGTCACACACCGCCTCATCCACACATGCATGCACGCACATACATACCGTAAGGAAATCAGCAAGCTCACTCACCTGGCAATCCATGAGCACCGCATCGAACCGCCCTGTGTTGCTGGCGTAGGTGGCCAACACTGCATCGACCGCCTGCTCACACTCTCGGTCACACACGCACACCCACACGCACGCATTCTCACTGACGCACATGCATGCTTAAAGCCGGCGGCCCAAATTGTTCATGCTTTTAAAAGTTGACCAGAGGGAGTTTTTCTGGTGTGGGCTTTGGCGAGAGTTTCCGATTTCGTCTAGGTTCGTTTCTTTCGCGAGACCCAGCCAACTCTCGGTTTTCCCCCTGGTGAGTGAATCTGTCTCCGAAAGTCCCAAATTGCAAGTGCGTGACTTTCAAAAGCTTGGACACTCAACTTCGTCAAGTTTTAAAAACTTGACCCTCGCGGCCCGCAATTTGGGACGCGGGCTTTAAACACCATCAGCAGCACATGCACCTGGCAATCCATGAGCACCGCATCGAACCGCCCCGTGTTGCTGGCGTAGGTGGCCAACACCGCATCCACTGCTTGCTGCCCGTCACACACGGCCTCCACTTCACAGCCCAGCTTCTGCATTCGAATTATGGCAACCTGGTGGGGTGGAGGGGGAGGGAATGGGGCGGAGCAGAGAGGGGCACATGGGGAGGGGAAGGTTGGAACAGCACCACCATCTGCCACACGGCCTCCACCTCACAGCCCAGCTTCTGCATTCGAATTATGGCAACCTGGTGGGGTGGAGGGGGGACCGGGAGAGGGGAATGGAGGAGTGGAATGGCAGGGAGGGAGGGAGGGGAGTGAATGGGAAGAGGTAGCAGGAGTGGATTGGCCTGCTGCTGCTCCTGCCTGTCACACACCACCTCCATCTCACAGCCGGGCTTTTCATGCGAATTATGGCCACCTGGCTGGGTGGGAAGGGGGAGGCCGGCCATTAACTTATAACCATCCACAATATCATGCCACTTCCCGCCGCCTCACCTTGCGCAGCACAGTGTGACTTCAGCAGCCAGCACCCGCTTCCCTGCCAAGTGCCATTGTAACGAGGTGACTTTTGAGTCGACTCAAAAGTCACTTCAGCAGCAGCTAGGGATGAGCAAGTGGCGAACACGAACGTGTTCGTGTTCGCCCCTACACGAACACCTTCGTTTGCCGAACCGAACACTGTTCGGTTCGGCGAACACTTTGAGCAAAAAATGGTGTTCGCCGTTCGCCTGTGAAGGCGTGTTCGGGCGAACCTCGAACACTGTTCGTGTTCGTCGCGGGCAAATTGCAGCAGCAGCCCGAACACGAACGTGTTCGGGCAACATCGAACACTGTTCGGCGAACATTTTAAGCCAAAAAAAAATACCTGTTCGGTTCGCCTCGAACACGTTCGAGGCGAACCGAACAGGTGTTCGTTTTTTTGCTCAACCCTAGACAGCAGCCAGCACCCGCTTCCCTTCCCTGCCAGCGCAACGCACTTTCTACCCCCCCACTTGCATTGAGGCGCCGCACTTTCTACCCCCCCACTTGCATTGAGGCGCCGCACTTTCTACCCCCCCACTTGCATTGAGGCGCCGCACTTTCTACCCCCCCACTTGCATTGAGGCGCCGCACTTTCTACCCCCCCACTTGTCCCCAAACACGTTGTCCACCATGTTACGACACTGCTTGCCAATGTGATTTCCCACCATCTCACTTTGGTTTTGAGGCGTCTCACCTCCCTCATCGCCACACTCCTTCCTTCCCGCCGCCTCACAATATCACACCACTTCTCACCACCTCACCTTGCGCAGCAGGGCCGTGTCTTCAGCAATCAGCACCCGCTTGCCTGCATTGAGGTCGCTTTTGAGGCGCCTCAAAAACGACTTCAGCAATCAGCACCCGCTTGCCCACAAGCTCGTTACCTACCTGACTTTGACTTTTGAGTCGACTCAAAAATCGACTGCCCACAAGCTCGTTACCTACCCCACCCATCTGCTACATCAAAACCACATCAAGACACATCGTTAACCACATCAAGACACTAACTCCCACTGCCTCCTCCTCACCATCCACCTTTCTCAGCTCAGAGATTTATTCGCCCCACCAGCGCCTCACCTTGCGCAGCAGAGCCGTGTCTTCAGCAATCAGCACCCGCTGGCCTGCCATGCCAGGGCGTTACCCAGTAGCACATTGCCCACCACGTTTCCACCTTGCTTGCCAATGCTATTTCCCACCACCTCACCTACCGCAGCAGAGCCGTGTCTTCAGCAATCAGCACACGCTTGCCTGCCAGCATGTTACCCACCTCACCTTTTACTCTCATCATCATCACTTCGTCCCCGCCTCACCTTTCTCAGCACTGAGCTTCGTTCATTCGCCCCAACAGTGCCTCACCTTCCTCAGCAGAGCCGTGTCTTCAGCAATCAGCACACGCTTGCCTGCCAGCGCGTTGTCAAACGAACCCTCTGAGAAGGACGCCTGGGGGGAGGGGGAGGGGGAGGGGGAGGGGGAGGGGGAGGGGGAGGGGAGTGGAGAGAAACATGGGAAGGGGCGGAGAGGAGAGGCTGAGAGAAGGAACGGAGGAGGATGGGGGAGACCATTTCTGAGGCGAGCTGGTTTTTGAGAATTCTCAAAAACCAGGGGAGACCATTTCTGAGGCGCATCACAAGCTGCCAACGTGTTCGCAGACAAGCCCTCAGAGAAGGATAACTTGGGGGAGGGGAGTTGTGGGGGGGGGGGGAGGGAGAACATCCGAGGCACGGGAAAGGAGGGGCGGAGGGGAGGGCCTTCTGGGTTCACCCAACAACCCAAAAGAAAGGAAACAAGATAAAAGAAGGGACGGGGGGGGAGGGATGCTGGAGAGAGAAGGCAATTGAGCATAGGGGAGGGAGGGGGGAGGGGGGGGGAGGGGGGGAGGGGTTTGGGGGGGGGAAGGGGCACGGAGAGAGGGAAAGGGAGGGGGTTTTAGGGTGAGAGGCACAGGCACTGACCCCTTTCTTGAGCCCGCTGTTGACCGGCCGCATCCTGCCTGACCGCGACCTAGGAGACGACTCCAACACCCCCCCTGCTGCCCCTGCTGCTCCTCCCTGGGCAGGAGAGCCAGCACCAGCACCACCAGCAGCAGCAGCACCGTCACTTAGGGCCGGGCAGGGGCCTTCCGCACTTGCCGCCGAGGGAATCGGGGGCCGGCCAGAAGGTAGGCCGTGAGGGGAGGCAACAGCAGCGGCGTGTGGGGAGGGAATGGGGGGTCCCCGGCCAGAGGGAGGGGGGTACCTAGACATAGCCGCTCCCCCAGCAGCACCAGCAGCAGCGCCAGCAGCGGCAGAACCAGCAGCGGCAGAACCAGCTGCGGCAGAACCAGCAGCGGTGGCGGTAGTGGGGTTGGAGGCGGAGGGGCGAGGGCAGGGGGAGAAGGGGACGGAGACGGCAGCTGTGTTGCGCAGAGCGGTGGACGAGGCTGCTGGGGAGTCGGCGGATTCGTCCTCCTCTGCTGGCGCTGGCAGGTCCCACGCCTGGTGGGTGGGAGGGGAAGGGGGGTGTGAGAGGGGGGGGGGAAGACGGGGAAGGAGAGTGAGTGGCAGCAGCAGCAGCAGCAGCAGCAGCAGCAGCAGCAGCAGCAGCAGCAGCAGTGGCTGCTGGTGAGTCGGCTGACTCGTCCTCCTCTGCTGGCGCTGGTAGCCCCCACGCCTGGTCAGGGGAGGGGGTGGGTGGACGGAGTGAGGAAGGAGAGTGAGAGAGAACGGCAGCGCTGTGGACGAGGCTGCTGGGGAGTCGGCGGATTCGTCCTCCTCTGCTGGCGCTGGCAGGCCCCACGCCTGGTTGGGGGGGAGGGGAAGGGGGGAAGGGAAGAAAGGGAGAGATGGAGGAGAGTGAGAGTGAGCGGCAGCAGCACCACCAGCAGCGGCTGCTGGTGAGTCGGCTGACTCGTCCTCCTCTGCTGGTGCTGACAGCCCCCACGTCTGGTGGGGGGGGGGGGACGATTGAGGAGAGGAGGGCGGCAAAGACAGAGGAGGGGGGGAGGGAGGGATTGGGTGGAGGAGAGTGAGAGTGAGTGGGAACAGAACCGGCAGCGGAGGAGAGTTCTTAGGTGCCTCACTACTTGAGGGGGGAAGGGAGGGATTGGGCGGAGGAGAGTGAGAGTGAGCGGCACCAGAACTGGCAGCGGAGGAGGCAGCAGCGGCAGCGGCAGCAACAGTACTTTAACAACATTTTTTGTCACACAAACCAGAATCACTATACTCTCACCTGCTCGTTCCCCTCGCCATGGTGCCACTGTGAACCACCCCCTTCGCCTCCCCCATCTGCCCCTCGCCCGCCCCTCCCTCCAAACGCGCGCGGCATGTCAATTTGCGAGCTCGAGTGCGGAACACTGTTCCTGGCCGTTGCCAGGGCGAGGAGAGGGGCCATGCGCGACGCATAGAGGGGCTTGGACGCCACTGCACACCCCGACCTGCATGCATACAGAGGGTGTTGAGAGGAGAAGGGGGGGAGGGAAGGGGGATAAGAGGGGCCATGCGCAATGCATAGAGGGGCTTGGACGCCACCGCACAGCCCGACCTGTGAATGGAGGGGGGAAAGAAGGGGGAGAAGGTGGGGGGTTGGGGGGGGGGGGGGGGGGTGGGGTTGGGGGAAGGGGAACCGGAGAAAGGAGAGGAAAGGGTGAAGGAGAGAGCATGCAGCATGTCAATTTGCGAGCTCGAGTGCGGCACGCTGTTCCTGGCCGTGGCAAGGGCGAGCAGAGGGGCCATGCGCGACGCATAGAGGGGCTTGGACGCCACTGCACACCCCGACCTGCACATGAAGGGATGGGAGGGACATGAGAGCTTGAGTGCTGCGCGGCACGCTGTAGCTGGCGGTGGCGAGGGCGAGGAGAGGCACCATGCGCGACGCATAGAGGGGCTTGGACACCACTGCACCACCCGACCTGCACATGAAGGGATGGGAGGGAGGGGAGAGGGGAGGAAGGGGATAAAGGTTGAGCATAAGGCATGTCAATCTGCGAGCTCGAGTGCGGCACGCTGTTCCTGGCCATTGCCAGGGCCAGCAGAGGGGTCATGTGCGATGCATATAGAGAGGCTTGGACGCCACTCCACACCCAGACCTGCATACAGAGGGTGTGAGGGTGGGAAGAGAAGAAGGAGGCAGCAGAGAAGAAGAGAAGAAGGCACTAAGAGGATCGCCAAGGCCACTAAGAGGATCGCCAAGGCCACTAAGGGGATCGCCAAGGCCACTAAGGGGATCGCCAAGGCCACTAAGGGGATCGCCAAGGCCACTAAGAGGATCGCCAAGGCCACTAAGGGGATCGCCAAGGCCACTAAGGGGATCGCCAAGGCCACTAAGGGGATCGCCAAGGCCACTAAGGGGATCGCCAAGGCCACTAAGAGGATCGCCAAGGCCACTAAGGGGATCGCCAAGGCCACTAAGGGGATCGCCAAGGCCAGCAGAGGGGACATTGCGTAGACTGGCATAGACGCCACTGCACTGCACGACATGCATATGGGAGGGAGTGAAGGAGGGCAGGGAGGGAGACGGAGGCCCCTAACCTCCCTCCCACTGCTTAGTGAAGAGCTTCGACTTTACAGAACCCTACGTAAACTAGCTAGGTTTTACTACTACTGTTTTCTCCTTTGCTAAACCTTCTCCTTAGAAACTGCAGCTCGCTGGAATGTCTGATCACTAACTTCCCTCCAACTATCTTCTCTCCCCTTACCTTCTGAGTGCGCGCCTAGTATCCGCCGACGTGTTGTGCTCCACGAGCCACGCAATCACGAACCGCTGGTGCTGCAGGCGTGCGCGAGAAATATGAAGCTCCTCGGCAATGAACTGATGCACGCTGGGCACGATGGCCACGTCTATCACCGCCAGCATCAGCTTCCATACCGGCCGGGCTGCTGAGGAGGAGGAGGAGCCTACCTTCCATACTCACCTGCCTGCCTGCTGCCCTGCCTTCTCGGAGCCTACCTTCTGAGTGCGCGCCTAGTATCGGCGGACGTGTTGTGCTCCACCAGCCAGGCGATCACGAAGCCCTGGTGCTGCAGCCGTGCCCGAAATATATGAAGCTCCTCGGCAATAAATTGATGCACGCTCGGCACGATGGACACGTCTATCACCGCCAGCATCAGCTTCGACGCCGGCCGGGCTGCTGAGGAGGAGGCAGAGGAGGAGGAGGATGCTTGGGCTGCTGCTGAGGGAGGGGAGGCGGGGATGAGCCGGGATGGGGAGGCGGGTACGACCCGGGAAGGGGACGCGGCAGAGAGGAAGGATCCACGGGAAGCTGTGGCAGCAGCGGGAGCAGCAGCAGCAGCAGCAGCAGCGGGAGCAGCAGCAGCAGCAGCAGCAGCAGCAGCGGGAGCAGCAGCACCAGCAGCAACACCACCAGCACCAGCGCCACCAGTGCCAGCACCTTCTGATTCAACGACAGCAACAGCGGCGGCGGCGGCAGCTGCAATCGAGCCGTCTTTGTCCGACCCCGCGCCCCCCGGTCCCCCTCTCCCTCCAAGCAACCCTGCTCCGAGCGACCGGGAGCCGATGCTCCCATGAGCTAACGGCCCACTCAACAGGCCCTGCTGCTCCCTGCCCATCGTCCCATCAAAGGACAGCGATGCGAGACCATTGGGGGGCGTGCCTAGTGCACCAGCAGCAGCACCAGCAGCAGCACCAGCGGCAGCAGCATCAGCAGAAGCGGGAGGGGTGGTGGTGGTAGGGGCAGAGCCGTGGCTGGAAAAGGAGGGATCCTGGTCCGAGCCACGGCTGCTACCCTGCTTCTCCAGGGACCGTCGGGACTTGGTGCTCAGACCACGCCCCAGTAACCTGCTGCTGCTGCTGCCAAGGCTCTTCACCATCCCCATCGCCCTCCCTCCCGCCAACCCCCCTCCTCCTCCCCCTCCTGCTTTCCCCCCTTCCGCCCCCTCCCCCGCTCCCCCATCCCCAACCTCCCCCTCCTCGCTGTCGCCGCAAGTGCTTGCAGCAGCAGGGCTGCCGAAGCAGCGCCCGGGGCTGCTCAGAATGCGCCCGTTGCCCAGAGGATGGGACGGCGAGGGAAGCCGGTTCCAAACCTCTCTCTGCCCCTGCCCCTGCCCAGGTGCGCCTGATTCAGAGACCACCTGCCCCAGCTGCGCCTGCATAGGCCCTGACAGAGGGGGGGTCTGATCAGGGGTGAAAGGTCTAGGGGAGGTCCCACCTGTCCCCCCTCCCCCTTCCCCTCCCCCTCCCCCAGGTCCGCCTGGCACTGCTGCTACAGCCGCTGCCACAGCTGCTGCTACAGCCGCGGGGGATGGCGCTACAGGTACTGGTAAGGAGTCGTGGGATCGAGGGGAGGGGCTGCGCCAGCCTACAGCCGACCTCGCTTTATCCACCATCGGACTGAACCCACCCGCACCACTCCCAACACCACCACCACCTCCACCACCACCACCATTGCTGCTGCTGCCACCACCCCCGGCGCCAAAACTACCACCTCCCACTCCTCCTCCCCCCACCGCTCCACCCGCGGCAGCAATCCCCCCTCTCTCCCCCTTCTCCCCTCCCCTCTCCCCCTTTTCCCCCTTCTCCCCTTTCTCCCCCTTCTCCCCTCCTCCTCCCCCTCTCAGAGCAGTGAAGCTGCGCATGAGCGGAGCAGAGAACCCCACGAGGGAGCGCGACGCGCGGGGGGGCTGCGAGGCGGCCGACTTCTGGATCAGTATGGAGGCGACAGCTGGCATGATCTCCTGCCACGTGTGCGCGCGCCACACCTTGAGCTTCCGCCGCTCCATCCAGGCTGTGGCTATGGCCGCCCCTGCACTGTCCTCCTTCATTGCGAGAAGGACCTGAGAGGGGGGTGAGCAGAGGGGAGGGCGGGGTTTAGGGCGAAAGGGGACGAGAAGGCCCCTAGGTGGAGTGCGCGCCACACCGAGCTTCCGCCGCTCCATCCAGGCAGAGGCTATTGCTTCCCCGGCGCTGTCCTCTCCTCCTTCATTGCCAGCAGCACCTGAGGGGGATGAAGAAAGAGCGGGGGAAGGGGGGCGGCGTGGAGGGGGGGGGGGGGGGAAGGAGAGGGGACGAGAAGACAAGCAGGCGGAGTGAGCGCCACACCTTGAGCTTGCGCCGCTCCATCCAGGCCGTGGCTATGGCCGCGCCGGCACTGTCGTCCTCCATTGCTAGAAGCACCTGAGTGGGATTCGGAGAGAAGGAAGGGGGGAGGAGAGGGGGGAGGGGGACAGAGAGAATACATGCGGGCAGAGAGTGAGCGCCAGAAATCTCTCAAACAAGTCCACATGTATTCTCTCTGTCCACAAACAAGAAACCTCACCTACCTCCAGTTCACCCCATCCCTCCAACCTACCCTCCCCTCCACTCTCCCCAGCTCCCACCTACACACACACCCTCCACCACTCCCCCTCCTTCTTCACCTTCCTCCCTCCCTTCCCCCCATCTCTCTCCTCACCTGCCCGCCCTCCACGGCAGTCAGCTTGGGCAGCAGCAGCTCTGGCTGAAGCATGCTGTTGTGCCACCCTCCACCGCCCTCCACCGCTTCGAACCGCATGTCGAAGCGGAACCGGGCCCCCTGCCCATCCTTGTCCACCACGGCTATTGACCCCCCCATCAGGTTCACCTGTTGTTACACACGCAGTTACACATGCGGTTACACATGCGGTTACACACGGGGTTACACACAGGGTTACAAATTGGTTTACACATGGGATTTACATGTATGCAGTTACACACAGAGTCACGAACAGGGACAGGTTTACGAATGGGGTTACAAATTACCAAAAAAAGCTGGGAGGATGTATACAAGCAGAGATGAGCCTAGTTTTGAGTCGACTCAAAACTAGCCGGGAGGATGTATACAAGCAGAGATGGAAAAGGATGGGGGGATAAGGGTGGGGACGGGGAAGGGAGGGGAAGTGGAAGGGTAAGAGGAAGGGGAAGCAGAAGGGGAGGGCGAAGCAGAAGGGGAAGGGGAAGGGGAAGGGGAAGGGGAAGGGGAAGGGGAAGCGGAAGGGGAAGGGGAAGGGGAAGGAGTTGGGGATGGTAGGGGAGAAAATGTATGGGGTGGCTTACCAGGGAGCGTACGATTCCCAGACCGAGCCCTGCCACAGTAGAGACACACGTGGGAGTGGGATGATGGAAGGGGATGGGGATGGCGAAGAGGAGAGGGACGGGGAGGAGGGGAGAAAGGAACAGGAAGAGGAAACGGGGGGCGGTAGTGTGCATTAGTTTGGGTGGCTGATTGATTAGGGAGATGACGGTTGCCTGGCCAAGACCTGGCACCATTTGGGTCGACTCAAAAGCTGACGATTATTCAGGCCAAGACCTAGCACAGCAAAGAGGTGTATGGGAGCTGGATGGCAGGGTGGGAAGGGTGGCGCGAAGGGTGGAATGGTGCCATCCCCACCCAACCCCACCTCACTCCACCTCAACCCCCAACCACACCTCACCCCATCCCACCTCAATCCACCTCACCCCCCAACCACGCCTCACCCCATCCCACCTGTGCCACAAGCCTGTTGGAAGTTTTCAAAGATGGAAACTCGGTTGTGCACTGGAATGCCTGGCCCCGTGTCATCCACCTCAAACAAGTGGAGACCCCACCTACATCACTCCACCCCACCCCATCCCATCCCACCCCACCCCACCCAACTGCTCCCCACCTGTGCCACCGTGTGTGCGGGCAGTGGAAACATCAGCCTGCTGGAAATTCTCAAAGATGGACTCCCGCTTGTGCACGGGAATGCCTGGCCCCGTGTCATCCACCTCAAACATGAACGCCACCGTGCGCCGCCCCTTAGCCCCGCCCTGCTCCCCCCCTCCCACCCCCACCCCCGCCCCCGCCCCCGCCACTCCTGCCCCCCCTATGTCTGCTGCAGCATTGTCCACATCGCGGCTCTTGGACCTGCTGTGCCGCCTGCTGCTGGGGGGGGAGGGGGGTTGGGAAGACAGGAGGGGACAGAGAGGAGAGAAGGCAGAGGGGGGAGGAAAAAAGGCAGGTAAGGAGGGATGCCTGGCAGGGTCCGTGTCATCCACCTCAAACATGAACGCCACTGTGCGCCGCCCCTTGCCCCCGCCCTGCTCCCCTCCCACCCCTGCCCCTCCGCCCATTCCCCCACCCACTCCTCCCCTTGCGTCTGCTGCTGCATTGTCCACATCGCGGCTCTTGGACCTGCTGTGCCGCCTGCTGCTGGGGGGAAAGGGGTTGGAGGGAAGGAAAGGGAGGGGGAGGGAGGCAAGGAATGGGAAAGCAGGAAGGAGAGTAAGCGGAAATGAGAGGCTCTACTTCTCTTCTTGATTCACCGCCCCCCCTTCTCCTTCCCCCCCTCCCTCCCCACCAACCCTTCTCTCCTCCTCCAACCCTCCTCCCACCGCATTTATTCCGCACCCCTCTCCCCCTCCCCAACCCCACTCACTTGCCCTTCTCCTCCGCGATGGAGAGGTCCTGCTTTGCCAGCTGCGGGGGCGGCCTGTCCTGTCCCGCACCCACCCACTCGGACCTCGATTTTACACTCCCCCACCTGATGTCGCCGCATCTCCCTCCCTCAACCCCTCCCCCCCTCACTCACTTTCCCTTCTCCCCCGGGATGGAGAGGTCTTGCTTGGCCAGCTGCGGCGGCGGCCTGTCCCGCACCCACCCCCGCACCACCACCTGGCCGTTCTTGGTGAACTTGCACGCGTTGCTGAGTAGATTCGCAAACACCTGAGAGAGGAGAGGAGGGGTGGGGAGGGGACGGGAGGGGAGGGTCGGGAGGGGAGGGGACGGGAGGGGACGGGAGGGGAGCGGAGGGGAGGGGACGGGACGGGACGGGAAGGGAGGGGAGGGGAGGGGAGGGGAGGGGAGGGGAGGGGAGGGGAGGGGAGGGGAGCGGAGGCAGAGCACAGTGCATGAGGGAGGAGAAGACAAGTCCCCACCGAACTGAAATCACTTTTGAGAATTCTCAAAAGTGATTTCGATACATGAGGGAGGAGGAGACAAGTCCCCACCACACTGTTCTCGGTGCCCTTGCACGCGGTGCTGCGCAGATTCGCGAACATCTGAGAGTGGGGGATAGAGGAAGAGCAAGAGGGGGGGAGAGAAGGAGAGCAAGAGGGAGAGTGTGAAGGTGGCGAAGTGGTGAGAGGGTTCAGAGAAAGGAGCAAAGAGATTGCAGAAGCACCAGGCAAATGGGCGGCTGGGGTGGGAGGAGTGGGATGGGCTGCAGCAGCATGGGAAGAAAAAGAGGAGGGGCAGGAGAGAGAGAAAACGGAAGTGTGTGTGTGGGGGGGGGAGGGGTGGAGTGGATGGGGTAATTATGGGAGTGGAGGAGCGGAAACACAGAGGAAGAAATATAGAGGAGGAAATGGGAAGAGCAAGGGTGGGTGTGAGCGTGTGAGATGGAGAAAGCGGGGAGGAGGGTGGGTGTGGGCGGCAGGCACATGCCACAAACAAGGCAAGGCCGCACCTGTCTGACCCTGGACGGGTCGCCCTTGACCATCCGATCAATGTCGTCAGAGAGATCGAGGGCGATTTCGGTGCCGTTGCTGAGCCCCTGCACGCTGAACATGTCGACCAGCGACTCGAGCTCGCCCACTATGTCAAACTCCAACACCTCCAGCTGCATCTTGCCCGCCTCCACCTGTGGCAGACAATCGCACACGGATAGCACATATGCACACAGGTGAGAGTGTGTGTGCGAGAGGGTGTGTAAGCAAGGGGAGTGCCTCAACCAGTGACTCAACCAGTGACTCGAGCTCGCCCACTATGTCAAACTCCAGCACCTCCAGCTGCATCTTGCCTGCCTCGACCTGTGATACATGTGTACACGCACAGATAGAGCAGACAAACACAGGTGTGAGAGAGGGCAAGATTCAGGAGTGAATCCACCAGCGACTCGAGCTCGAGCTCGCCCACTATGTCAAACTCCAAGACCTCCAGCTCCATCTTGCCTGCCTCCACCTGGCAAGTCAGGAACAAAGGCCATCATAAGAGTGAGAGAATAAGCACGCTGCTGAACATGTCAACCAGCAACTCGAGCTCCCCACCATGTCAAACTCCAAGACTTCCAGCTGCATCTCGCCCACCTCCACCTGGCAAGAATGAGGATGAGCACACAGATTGCTGATGAGCACACACATAGCACTCGGATATAGTCCGGTTCGGTTCAGACTGGTTTGGGCTTGGGTCTTCTTCATGCCTATCCTCCTGCGTGTTCATCCGCAATGGAATAGGGACCTGTCCTGCGGTCGAGTTTTGAAACGTCTCAAAACTCGACCTCTCGTTCTCATGCCTAGCCTATTCAGTAGCAAGCAAAAAGGCAGGAAGAGCAAAGAGGTGGTGGTGATGGTGGTGGAAGGAAGAGAGCAAAGTGGTGGTGATGGCACCTTGGCAAGGTCGAGCAGGTTGTTAAGGAGTCCAAGGAGGGAGGCACAGCAGGACTTCATCTGGCGCAGATTGGCCTCCTGCTCTGACGAGAGGTGGTCGCACAGCATGATGTCCAGTAGACCCAGGATGCTGAGGAGGACGGGAAAAGAGAAGGAAAGGGGGGAGTGTGGGGAGGGGGGGGTGGAGTGGAGAGGAGATTGGGGGGGGTTGTTTTGAGACGTCTCCAAGATTTGCTCCGATGACAGGTGATCGCACAACATGATGTCCAACAGACCCAGGATGCTAAGGAGGACGGGAAGGAGGGAGGGGGGGGGGGGGGGGGGTGGGGGGGGGGGGGGAAGATTGAGGAAGACGAGGAGAGGCAGCACAGCATCTGCTGCTGATTGGCCTCCTGCTCCGATGGCAGGTGATCACACAGCATGACGTCCAGTCCAGCAGTCCCAGGATGCTGCAGAGAGCGAGGGGAAGAGAGGGTAGGAAAGGGGAAGGTTTTGGTTGAAAGTGGGGCAACAGAGGCCCAACCCAACCCAACCCTTGACTCGCCCAGCCATAGGAGTCCTAAGATTGTGGGAGATGTTGGCAAGAAACTGGCTCTTCACTTCCGAGGCAGCCTGGGCTCTCTGGGTCTCCTCCATCTGGCGCTGCAGCTCCTCCTTGGGGCGCATGCGTGTGTCCACGTAGAGCGTGACAAAGATCACCACGGCCCAGCCCACCCCCCAACCCACCAGGGTGCGTGTGCATGTAGAGTGTGTGTGTGGGTGGGGGAAAGTGGGACAACAGAGTCCCAACCCAACCCTTGACTCACCCGGCCATAGGGGTCCTGAGGTCATGGGAGATGTTGGCCAGGAACTGGCTCTTGACCTCTGAGGCAGCCTGGGCTCGCTGGGTCTCCTCCATCTGGCGCTGCAGCTCCTCCTTGGGGCGCATGCGCGTGTCCACGTAGAGCGTGAGAAAGATCACCACGGCCCAGCCGATGAGCAGCAGGCACAGCGCGACTGCCGTGGTGACAATGACCATGATGCGCTGCTTTGACTCTATCGATGCTGTGATGGAGGCGCGCGGCATGATGATCGCAAGGTACTGGGAAGGGTAGAGGTGAGCAAGGGGGTAAGGGAGAAGCGGGTTGGGGGGAGAATTGGGAAGAGAGGAGATAGATATGGACAGGAGTGTTAGAATCTATATATTATAGCATGCGAACACTTGTGACTGTACACCAAGAGTGGTGTACAGTTGGGTTGGTTCAGGCTCTAGTTTTGGGTGTACTGCGGGTAGACACCCTAATTGGGGTGAACCCAAATATCCTAGCTTAGACTTGGCTCCAACCTTGTTGGCCAAGTGGGGCAACCAACTTTGGTTGGTTGGCCACCATCCCACTAGGGTTGGTTGGATGGTCCTTCCTCCCACTAGCCTACTTGGTCTTGGTGTCTTATGTGCTAGGTTTGGTGTTCCTCTCCAACCTTCTCTTCCTTGTATAACCTTGTGCTCTCTTGAGCTAATCTTAACAATTCTTCCTCAGCTTTCCATAGCTCCTAGTTTCTTTCAAGGAGAGGGCGACTGTAGGTTCACCAGACGGCGATTGTAGGATAGGGAGGAGGATGGGAGGGAAGGGGTGGGAAGATAGGGAGGGTTGGGGGGGGATCGGATAGCGACAAGAGGAAGGTGGCATGAGGAAGAGTGGTGCTAGGGACCGAGAGGGGGGAAGAGGAGGTGGAATGAGAGAGTGGGAGGCAAGAGAAGGTGGGGAGGGACAGGAATGGATTAAGGGGGGGTTGAAGGGGACAAATGAAGCTCACCAAGTTGAGTTGAGATTGTCGAAGCTGAGAGCCATGCCATGCCATGGTACTCACGAAACGTAGCTTTGAGGCGCCTTAAAAACTAGCTGAGAGCCATACTCTGGCACGAAGTTGCCATGGTACTCACGAAGCATTCCTCCCCATCCATCCACCGTAATGTACCCCACCCACCGAGTAGGTCCGCCCACCCACCGAGTAGGTCCGCCCACCCACCGAGTAGGTCCGCCCACCCACCGAGTAGGTCCGCCCACCCACCGAGTAGGTCCGCCCACCCACCGAGTAGGTCCGCCCACCCACCGAGTAGGTCCGCCCACCAGCAGCACCAATACTTCCTCCCCAGCCCCCAACGTGTCTGTATAATATACCTGCATTCCCGATCCAAGCCTCACCATGTTGAGATCGCCGAAGCTGAGGGCCATGGTGCTCACAAAACACTCCTCTCCGTTCACCATCACCCCCCCCCACCGAGTAGTTCCCTGCCACCAGCGCCGGCATCTCCTCCCCAGCCCCTGACCCTTTGGAACCCAGCGTTTGTGTATAGCTACACTACAATGGACCAAGCCTCACCATGTTGAGATTGTCGAAGCTGAGGGCCATGGTGCTCACGAAGCACTCCTCCCCGTTCACCATCACGCCCCCCACCGAGTAGTTCCCCGCCACCAGCGCCGGCAGCCCAAACCGCGCCTCCAGGTACCGCGCCGTATCGGCAATCACCGCATCCAACACCTGCGTCGCGTTCACCAGCACTGGCATCGCCTGCCCGGCCCCCGGCCCTTCAAACCCCGGCGGCAGCGGCGGCGGTCCTGCCCCCTGCTGCTGCTGCCCCGACCCGCTCTGGTTGCCGCTCCCACCTCCTCCGCTCATCCCACTGGAAGCAGGAGCAGCTGGATTTGCAGACGGGGTAGCCATGGCGGTGGTGGCGGCGTTGGTGGAGGTGGCAACCAAAAACCCGTCGCTGCTGCAGATGTACATGACGCTGTTGTCTGTGCCTGATAGACCCAGGTAGCGGTTCACAGTGCCTGTGGACGACCCCAACGTTACTATGCCCGTTATGGCTGGGACAGAGGCGGCAGCAGCGGCAGGGGTGGTGATGGTGGTGGTGGCGGCGGTGGTGGCAGTGGAGGTGGTGGGATTGAGGGTGAGGGAGGGAGTTGCAGAGGAGGTGGAGGAGAGAGGGGAGGAGGTTGAAGTGGGAGAGGAGGTGTTGGAGAGGGAGGAGGAGGTGGAATCAGCTGCTGATGCTGATGCCGATGCCGATACCAATGCCAGCCTACCTGCCCCGGCACTGGCAGCAGTAGCAGAAGCAGAAGCAGTGGCAGTGGCAGTGGCAGCAGCAGCCACAGCAGCAGCTGAGGAGAGGTGCGCAGGTCGTTGAGAATGCAAGTGGAAATGGGGGTGGAAGGGAGTTTCTTGCAGCGACAATAAGTCCCGAGCCACCAACCCATTGGCCTCACCATCGCCACCCGCAACCCCACCCGTGTCCCTATCCCCATTTCCATCCCAATCCCCATTCCCCAAAGCATCACCTCCTTGAACCGTTGCATCAACCTTCGTAGTCCCTCCAGCCCCTCCCAACCCCCTCCCTTTCCCACTCCCTCCTCCACTCCCCCCCGCACTCCCCACCACCCCTTTCACCCCCACTCCCGCACCCACATCCCACCACTCATCCCCCCCAACATCCTGCCCAATCGCTTTCCTCTGCTCCGCGCCCCTCACGGCCACAGACGCGAGCAAGAGCGGTCCAGAGAGGTTCTGAACGGCATTGAAGGACCAGAGCAGCAGGCCGGGGGGGCCGCTGGCAACGCTGTCGTAGACGGTTGGGGACCCGATGGGCACTGGCGTGAAGTTCCGAGGGGGAGACTGGGGGAGGGCGGATCCGGTGGAGGTGTTAACTGCCTGGATGTACCATTGGCCTGCTTGCGTTATGCATAGGGATGGGAGTGGGGGAGGGGGAGAATGGGGTGGGGGAAGGAAGGGGGGGGCAGGGGAGGGGGAGATCGAGAAGGGAGGGAGTATGGAGAGGTAGAGAGGTTGAAGGACCAGAGAAGCAGGCCGGGGGGGCCGCTGGCAACGCTGTCGTAGACGGTTGGGGACCCGATGGGCACTGGCGTGAAGTTCCGTGGTGGTGACTGGGGGAGGGCGGATCCGGTGGAGGTGTAAACTGCCTGGATGTACCATTGGCCTGCTTGCACCAGCAGGCAGAGAGGATGAAGGAAGGTGGGGCAAGGGGTGAAGGGGGGGAGTGATGGGGAAAGGTCGTGGGGTGGGTGGGGAAAGTGGTGGGGGGAAGGAGGGAAAGAGGATGAGCGGGATGAGCGGGATGAGCGGGATAAGCGGGATACCAGTTATATCAGTGTAGACGCACCTGTGATGTCAGTGAGATTCTTTGTGTACACCTGGGACACGGCGCCCGTTTTTTTAGTCGACTCAAAAGTCAAAGAGGTGTACATGTGTCCATATTGACGCACCTGCAATATCGGTGAGATTCTTTCTGTAGACCTGTGACACGTCTACTTTTGAGGCACGCCAAAAGTAAATCTGCGTCAAACGCACCTGTGATATCGGTGAGATTCTTTGTGTAGACCTGCGACACGGCGCCACCAGGAGTGGCTGAGAAGGACTGGGTGACAGGGTCGGTCTGGGAGTAGGACACAAGGCAGCCGAAGTGGGAGAAGTAGCCCAGCAGCGTGAGGCGCGGCAGGGACGACTGGAAGAATGACCACGCCAGAGGGGCGATCTGAGGTGGAATGGGAGGCAGAGAAAAGAGAACGGGCAGGGAAGAGCAAGGGACGGGCGAGAAGGGAGGGCTGGACAAGAGAGTGAGGCGCGGGAGGGACGACTGGAAGAATGACCACGCCAGAGGGGCGATCTGTGAGGGAGGGACAGGAAGAAGGAGCGAGAGACAGGGAGAAAGAGCAGGGAAAGGCAAGGGAGGGAGGGAGAGACGTGTTGGAGTGCCAGCAGAGCAGGTTCTCCTCTCCACCACCACGGAGGAGGAGATTGCAAGCAGCAGCAGCAGCAGCAGCAGCAGCAGCAGCAGGAGGCAAAGGCCAGCACCATGCATGTCGCTGCGCTGCTTCAACGCACTCTCGTTCCTTGCCCTGCCCTGCCCTTCAACGCACCTGCTGCTCGCTGCCCCTGCTTCTCTTGACCCACCTGCTGCTGCGCGAATCCGAGTCCCACGACAGACGTGTTGGTCTGCGCCAGCAGGTTCTCCACCACAGAAGCAAAGGCCAGCAGCACGTCGCGGCTTCAACGCACTCTCGTTCCCTGCCCTCCAATCCACTCACTCTCTTCCATTCCATGCCCCTTAACGCACCTGCTTCTGCGCATAACGTAGCCCCACGACAGACGTGTTGGTCTGCGCCAGCAGGTTCTCCACCACGGAGGCGAAGGCCAGCAGCACGTCGCGATCACGGTTGATGTAGAGCAGGAACTGCTGGTGCACCCGCACTAGAGACTTTTGCCGCAGCCTGCAAAATTTCAGAGCGGTGGAGAAGGGTGGAGAGCATTTGAGAGCGGTGGAGAGTGGTGGATGGGGGTTTCGGGAAGAGGGGGGGGTGAATGAGAAGTGGAGGCGAAGGCGAGCAGCACGTCGCGATCACGGTTGATGTAGAGCAGGAACTGCTGGTATACTCGCACCAAGGACTTCTGCCGCAGTTGGAGGGGTTCAGAGCGGTGGAGAGTGGTGGTAGGCGGTGGGAATCAGTGGAGAACGGTGGTGAGAGCGGTGAAAGGGAGTTGGGGAAGAGAGGGGAGAGTGAATGAGTAGCAGAAGCGAAGGCGAGCAGCACGTTGCGATCAAGATCGATGTAGAGCAATAACTGCTGGTGCGCTCGCACCAGGGACTTCTGCCTCAACCTGGAATTGGAGGACCAGGAGAGAGGTGAGGAAAAGGAGTTGAGGGGCCGGAAGGCAAAATTATCTCCAATGTGGCAGACCACATGCCGGCTCGTCGGCCGACCGCATAGCTACAGTAAATCCAGTGGGAAAAAACAAAAACCAGCATTAAAAAAAAAAAAACACACACACACACACAAAAACTTACTGTGTGGCGATGTCATCGAGGGAGTCGCTGTACATCTTGCCCGCTGCATACCACGTGCTCACACACAGCACCACCGTGACTATAACGAGCAGCGCCTGGGGGAGAACAAGAGGGAGGGTGGATGGGGGAAAGGGGGAGGGAGGGGAAAGAGGGATAGCGGGGGCGGGGAGAAAGAGAGGACGGAACGAAAGAATGGCACGAGGACCGTGCTGCTAAGAAACATACACTCACGTTCTCACTCACTCATACAGCCGACAGAGTGATGGACTATAACGAGGGTGGGGACTGTGTCACATAGTACATACGTACCATCATGGTGAGGCGAGTGATAACAACGGGGGATTTGAGTGAGTCCAAAAGGAACCTTCCTCCGCCCTTCCTCATGAGCCATCCATCTCCCTCCCTCCCCCCTTCCTCGTCCCCCTTGCTCCCTCCTCCTCGCCCGTTCTCCTCAGTCGTCCTCCCCCCCTCCTTGCTCTTCTTCCCATGCCGCCATGGCTTCTTCTCCTTCCCGCCACCAGCGTTCCCATCGTCCTCTAAAAGCGGCACCGAGAAGCACCCAGCAGCACCGCTCCGAACCGTTTGCCAGGCCTTGCTCCTCCTCCTCCGCCTCCTCTTCCCTTCCACCTCCTCCCCATCCTCCACTCCCCCCCTCTCACCACCCCCACCACCACCAGGACCACCACCATCATCAGCATCAGAAGCAGCAGCAATAACGTCATCCTCATCATGCTCTGCAAACCCCATTCGGCAGAATCGCCTCGCACTGAGCATTCCCAGCAGGTCCATCACCCTCTCTCGCTTCGACATGTGCGTCAACACAGGCGAGTGCGACCCGTTATTCCACAACCCGCTACCCTGGCTGCTGCCGCTGCTGCTGGTGTTACTGTAGCTCCGCCCCTGAAATCTCAGCTGCTTTGGATTGGAATGATTATGATTGCTGTTCTTGTCGTTTTCTTGTCCCCCAAAGGGCGACAGCTCTATTCTGCCGCCCGCTTGTTTCCCTCCACTGTTCACAGGCTCCGTTATAGTCTGCTCCGTTATTTCGTGTAAGCCTTGGCTGCTACCGCTACCGGGCCCACTCCCCGTTCCGCTGCCAGTCCCAAGTTCAGGAATACTCCCTCCCGCGCTACCGCTCCCAACCGCACTGCCGGCACTTCTTGCGAAGCTAATGAAGCCGCTCAAACTGCCGCTGCTTGGGTCCAAACCTGCAGGGTCCGAACCTGAACGTTCCGAGCCTGGAACTGCCCTTTCCGAACCTACGTCTGCTGCCGAACTTGAACCTAGAGCTTCCGAAGCAGCGTTCCCTGTGTGTGACTCGGTTAAAGGGATCCCCATTATAACTAAAAGGCTCTCACAGCAGCGTCCTCTGCCTTTGGCTGCAATATGCTAGATATCCCCATTATCCCACTATAGCTGATGGAGTAATATCGACAACTCCGTCTCTCGCGTATAAATAAAAGACATGATAAGAGGACGAGGGGTCACAGGTGGGTCTGCACTATTGGTCAGTACGTGCATGCGAGCAACGAGCGGCGTTAGGTTAAGGCGTGCTGAACTGCTGCTGGTGGATATGATGGGAACCGGCAAATAAACGAAGTTGCAATCGGCTGCGACTAAGCTCAGGCAGGATGACTGGTGTGGCTGAATTAAGGTGCGAAAGAGGGGAGCGTGAATCACACCGCTGTAAGACGCGATAACTAAGAATGGGGATTGTGAAAGTTCATACTCGGGAGTGCGATAGGCTACGAGTGGATTGGAAAAGAGTTTATAACGGGAATGAGACAGTTCATTTTGAGACGGAACGGAGCTGAGAAAAAAAAGGTGTCCTGCTCTATCAAGGAAGCACCGCCGAAGCCCCGTGGAGTTGGTTCTTGGAGTTCTATTAACTACACTAACGTGCGTTCTGTGACTAGGAACCAACCGTCAATAGCTTAGCATAGGAATTTCTGGATAACGTCAGGTCACGGATAGTTATTTCATTCGTACTTGGAGTCCGAAGGCTTGCTAGAGCGTGCATTCGCTTGTACGTCAATGCTCACATTCCAAACAACTCTTGCTCTCGTTGCATTCACTAATCACCTAGATGGCTGGTGCATTTAGGGTTCGGTCTTTAGTGACACCAACCAAGTACTACGAGTTTGCACATGCGAATGCGATACCGATCGCACCACAGCAGCATTTTTGTGGTGGGTTGGTGCACAGCACACACGTCCTCTCAGCAACAAGGCAAAAGCAGAGCAAACCGGAAGGGACAGGAAGCGGTGGTGGTTTGGAAGTGTGTGTGTGGGAGTGAGGTGAGGGACAGGACGCCTGCCATAGTTCCGTTCGGTTCGTCGCCGTCTGGTTCGTTTGTTTCCGCACCTCCCTATTGAACCAATCACCGTAGCCGAAACCTACGGGTTGGTTTGGAAACCGAAAGATTTTCGAGGGCCTACCTTGGATACATTTCTGGTACGGGACATACCACACCAGGTTTCATTCAACGCCGCTGGACGCAGTTTGCATTTCAAATTCCATCAGAACTCCAGTTTAGATGCCAGGGGCTGCCGCGCATTTTGTACACGAGACACCTCATGCACTGTACAGTAACTGGACACGTCCCTGAGGACGCGGTACCTGTTTTCAAATTGTCACGATCGATCCTCGCGGGGATCGATGTGTCGGGTGAACAATATTCTGACGACTCTGCCAAGGTTGGTATCCCTTGTCGCATATTTTCGTCTATGTACAGCAGATATGTCAGCAAAAAGGTGTCACCTGTGGCTCGCAAGGTCGATGTGTCTGCGCCCTCACATCGATCGTGTAATTGTGGAGATCGGGGCAATTTTGCCCCAGTAATTTAAGATCGTGTCACCTGAGGCTCGGTGTGTCCAGGCGATCGCAAAAAGTAGTTGGGCACACCAGTGTGCCCTTCGATCGTGGCAGGATGGATGTGAGGCCCCGAACCTCCTCCGAACGTGCCAATTTGAAAACAGGTGCCACGTCCTAAGGACGCGTCACCTGAACGCCGATCCTGCGATCGATCCTACGTAGGATCGAAAATTTTCGTGGTTCAAAAAATGTCTAGAACTTTTGAATGCAATACGCAGGTTTCCAGTACGGTCAAGGATCGGTTTTTGCACGATCGTCGTTCAGGTGACGCGTCCTAACAAACCTATGGGGTTTCCCGTGGATCTCAAACAACCAGTGAGATACGATGGAGGGCTTGGACTGAAAGGCTTGGGGGATTTGTGGCATCCAAGGGCTGCTGAAGCTCTTTAGGTCGGTGAACAAAGCATGGCTGTCAGCGCTGTCTTTAAAAATGATATTAGTTTATGTACGAGAGCTCCAAGATTTTCATGTGGACAACTTAGGACGCGGCACCTCTTTTCATTTTGCCAGGATGGATCGTGGGAGGGGATCGATGTGCCGCCTGTACAGTGTATTGGCGACATCGCCAATGCCTGGTATCCGTTTTTCGCTGCACGTCGAGAATGTACAGTAAACAGGTACCCAAATTGGTGGCACCTGCAGCTCGCACGATCGATGTGCCGTGGTGCATGCGTTAGGGCTGGCGGGAGAGCATATCGCGCCACAGGTGACAGCCTCGATCGATCGTCGTCGCCCACGGTCGCAGGCCAAAAAATCTTGAGTCACTGCGAATGGAATTGCTGGACGACCATCCACGCTCTGCCCTGATTGGCTGCGCGTTTAAGTGTAATGGCAGGCCCAACCTGCCCGAGCCTGCAATTTCGATCCTGGCACCTATAGCTCGATGTGTCTACCCCACTACAAATTTGCAGTGTGGGCACATCGGTGTGCCGATCGATATGCCAGGATCGATGTGAGGCCACAATCCTTGTAGAATGAAAACAGGTGCCGCGTCCTTACACATCACACTCACCTTCCACTACACTTCCTAGATAGCAATGGACACTGGTCCTTCCTAAGAACCTGGAAGTCTCTTTGTCCTAACCTTTTTCACCGGAACACTTGCAATTTCGCCTACTAAGGAGGGCTGCTCTGCATTGTAACCCCTCACAGCTGTATCACACTCGTCCCCTTCCACTGCTACTACTCCACCATTCCTCGGCACAGCTTCAAAAGGCCCGTGTTGGCTCATCCAAGCAACAGACTTTGCAGCACCTCCTAATCCAACTCTTGCGACTTTACCACCATCTCCTGTTTCCCCCCCTGAAATCTCCCCAACCGGTGTCTCTCTTCCTCCTTTCTCGCCCTCGTCCCCAAGCAACCAAACACTTGAACCCCCCGAGTTCACAGAGGACGAATGAGGCGGGGAGAAGAAACCACGAGAAGGATGGGGCTGTGGCGTGTGAAACTCGGAGGGGAGCGGGGAGTGTGTAATGCTTTCTGCTCCGGATTGCGTTCCGCGTGCATTCCTCTGGCACTCTACCGCGGGAGTCAAAACTGCCGCGGCTTCTCCACCTGCTTCAGTCAACCCTGCTGCTTCTGTTGCTGCCACGTCTGATGTTGCTGCTGCTGCTCCTGCAGTTGCTGTTCCTGTTGCAAATACGTCTGGAGATGACAATGGGGACGACGACGGTGACTGGGATGGAACCGGTGCTACGGCTGCTACAGCTGTTACCGAAGCAACCCCTCCGTTCACAGGCGACAGCTGCGACTTTGCCTTGCTCCGCTGCCTCCTGGCAGGAACAATCAAATCCAGATCATGCAAGGGCCATGCACCCATATCGCGGCATGGGCTGTGCCTTTCTGTGATGGGAGAAGAGATCACAGCTGCTCTTACGGCCTGCTTGATGGTTGAAGCTGATACGCCTGCCGGTTTGAGCGAGGATGCAACTGTGGCTTGGGGAGGAGCGTCTGTGACTGGTTCGGTGGGGCGAACAACCTTCAGATCTGATCCGACAGCTTGACTGGCAAAGCCCTCTCTATAGACTGTACTGGGAGCAGGGACTGTTGTGCGGATTTGATCGGGTGCTGGTACAGTGCCTGTTGCGGGTATTGCTGTGCCGATGGCGAGTGCTGCTGCAGAAGATACATGCATTCTGGCTCTTGAGCTGAGCTGGGCTTGCGTGATTGGCTGTGTCCTAGCAGCTGATGACGTGGCAGAGACGCCAGCTGGTTTCAGTGACCTGGCTGGACTGCCAGCTGACTCAGAACTGAACGGAGAAATATCGACTGAGCTGTGCTGGACCCGTTGGCTGTTGACTTGTGTTGACTGAATTGACCGAGGTGGTCGCCCTGGGGATGCTGCTATGTATGGGGACACAGTTGCAGAATGATTCACACGCTTCTGCTGCTGCTGTGCCTTTGGATCGTGCTGCTGCTGCTGCTGCTGCTGCGGCTGATGCTGCTGCATCTGATGGTGCTGCTGCTGGAGCTGTGCTAGCGTCAGATCGTCACAATCCTGTGCTTTTCCGCGTATCGTAAACCTTGAAACCTCATTCCGCCGTTCACCGCTCCCTCGTACCACTCTCTTCTCATTGCCACTTCGCACTCCTCCCTCACCTGCTCCTGCTGAGATTACCTTTTCAGCTTCCCCATCCCATGATCCTAAACCTGCTCCTTCTTCTCCCCTTGCTCCTGCCCCTACCCCTGCCTCAGCTCCAATCCCAACACCTGCCGCAGCCCCAGCCCCTGTCCCTGCTCCATTACCAGAGCTCACATCTGCTCTGGCAGCCCTGCTCCTGGTCATTCTCGCCTCCCCCTTCGCCTCTTCTGCATCTCTTGCCTCCCTTCCCTCCTCCACCCCTTCTCCTGCTGCCCCTCCAGCCCTCCCTCTCACCACAATCGACGCCTCCTCCATGCCCCTTCCTCGCTTCCGCCCTATCACATCTTCTTCACTAACTCGCCTTTTCCTCCCCTTTTCTTTCCTCTCCCTTTTCTCCCCCCCCTCCTCTTTCTCCCTTTTGCGAGCATGCTTCGGCTTCTCTTCCTGCCCCTGCTTCTCCCTATTGCCTGCAGGTAAGAGCGTCCCTTCACCCGCTTCCAACTCCCAAGGATCCCCCATTTGCTCTTCATGAATCACCATCTCCCTCTGCTCCCGCTGCTCCCTCTGCTTCCTATGCTCCCGTTGCTTCCTATGCTGCCTCTGCTGCCTTTGTTCCCCTTCAAATGAACTATCACCCCCGCCTTCATCCAACTCAACTCCCACATCAAGGTTTGCACCTGCTTTCCCGTCCCTACCAACCTCAGCCGCCCTAGTCCCGACGTCAGCGCTTCTAGAAAGCTTCTCATCCTCGTTACAGTCTGCTTCAAGTACAGTATACCGCTCCTCCTGAAGCTGCTGCTGCCGTCTCTGCTGCTGCCTTCTCCTTGCCGCGGCTGCTGGCGAATCCCCAAGGAGGGAGGGGTCTGGGAGAGTGGACGGGAGAGCGGCAGCAGGCTTGGCAGCAGGAGGGGCAACAGGAGGGGCAGCAGGAGGGGCAGCAGGAGCAATACCAGCACAAACGCCCCCTCCCTCTTTCCCCTCCCCTTCCCCACGCATACCTTCTGCCTCACTTGGACATGACCCCTCAACTGTCACCTCAACACTCCCCTCAACCCTGCGCTCAAATTCCCCATGCGCCTCCTCCCCGCGGCCCTTCCGCCTCCCTTCCCGCTTCCGCTTCGCCCCTATCGCCTGGAGCCCTGACACGTCCACCCCAGACAACGAACCAGGCTCTGTTTGCTGCGTCTGCTCCTGCAACCCACATTGCGCCTGTCGCTCCTGCCGCTCCTGCCGCTGCTGCTGCTGCTGCTGCCACTCCTGCTGCTGCAGCGGCTGCTGCTGCAGAATCTGAATCCTAGGAGCAACAGCACCTTGTCTCTCCTGTCGACCGCCTCTCAGTCTCAGAGTCACCACCATCGACCCGCCTTCTTCCGGCTTATTCCTCCTCCTCCTCTCCGCTCCCACGCTTCCTGCTGCATTCGCCACCTCTTCTGCTTTCACTGCTTCTTCAACACACGCTGCGTCTGCTCCACTCTCTCCTCTATCCCCATCTCCACGTGCCTCGTCTCCTCCATCCTCTCCTCCGTCCTCTCCCTCTCTCAACCGTGCAGCTGCTTCTCTTTCTAGAGGCGCCGTCAACCTTGGTGGCATGGCTCGGGGAGGTGTCAGCCGAGGAGGTGTAACCCGGGGAGGTGTTATCTGGGGGGATGTTACTCGGGGAGGGGTTGCTCTAGGGGGTGTAACTTTCAAAGGACTTTCTGTGGGAGGTGTTTTTTTTGCGAATCTTCCACTGGCCGTTCTTGGTCCAATCACCGTCCTCTTAGGCTTCCGGCCAACCCGTCTCCCTGCCCTCTCGCCTTGATCCGATTCCCCTCTCTGCTGTGCCGGCTGCTGCTGCTGCTGCTGCTGGCCCTGCTCCTGCTCCTGCTGCTGATCCTGCTGCTGCTGTAGATTTGATACGGAGGGACGTCTCGGCACCGTCTGCTGAGAACGCCTTTGTACAATCTGCTGAGGCTGCGGGCTGGGAGTCCGAGCGAGGTTGAGAGCGGTTCTTTGGGATGCCAAACGACCCTGCGCAAGGAAAGCGAGGAGAGGAGCAGTAGGGACGAAAAGGAGAGAGGCGAAAACCACGTAAGCCATGGTAATCGATGACATTCTTCACTCGTTGACTTATTTTCGCTCTTGGTTATCCTTCAGTCTTTGACATTTTCATGCAGACTGGAACAATGGAAAAAAACGTTAATACGTAACGCCGCTTGATAACTGAATCCATGAAAAGGAGAGGTCCTCGATCTGGAAAGAGAGCGTACCTTCCCGAGGCATTTCTGCAGATGGAAGGCAAATCTTCCGGCTGTTACAGTGTAACCACAGTGGTAACACGCAATAATCTCGTTGGGAACGGCCGGGTGTGTCTGGCCAAACACGTCCACTGTCGCCTTAGACGCTCGCTGCATCGCACGCGTCGCACAGGCCGCACGTCGTCTCCGTTAAACAGGATAGCTATCTGCTTCGCTAACAACTTCTCCTTTAACAGATTCTCCGCTTCTGAATTTCTCGCCGACCTGTCCGCGAGCTCGCCTTCCAGCAGGCGAGAGCTGAATCCTGAAGCGGCCAGTAGCTTAACGTTTGTTGCAATCTCGCCGTGGATACGCATCGTAAGCAGACAGTAACTGTTATAGACTCTTACTAGTTGTGTCAAGCAAAGAAAAGCTGACGATTGAGAGATGGTCACTGGAACCAGGTTGGTAAACAACTTCCTGGCGACCGGAACATCGACATGCTAGTGGCGTGACGACGTATAATCGGCGAATTCACACTTGAAAGCCAAAGCAGTGACCGGCGGCGATAGAAAAAGGCGAGGACGCGACGTGGAATCTAAACAGAAATAAGAAGGCATTGTCAATGAAAAGGCAAGTCCATACTTCCTTCACACCGATATAAGTTTTGGAGGGAAAACACAGATCAGACCCAAAAACAGTCGCACAACGACACCCATGCGACCAAAACAGATGGATTACGAGAATCCGTAGGCGAAGATGTGCTGCCACCTCACGCGTCGTGAAGTCGTCAAGTCGGGACAAGCCACTGACGATTGTCGTTGTCATTCGCAACATTCCGTCCCTATCGCAAAACGTCCGAGGCGGAACCTGATTTGGCTACGAGGCCAAAGCGAAACACGATTACACTACAGATGTTACTCAAGTGGGGTACTTTAAAGCCATCAAAAGCAAAAGAGTTAATATGGTTTATGATGTACAACATCCATATCTATTCGCTTCCCAAAAAGAACTATACCAATGTTTTTCTTCTGCTCTGCGTCATCCTTACCTGTTTCCAATGACTTACCAAAAGAACCGTCCATTTCTGCATTCTCTACTTCATGGAGCTCATCGCTTCTATCAATCTTTCCTACTATAGCTTCTTGCAAGCATTTGGAAACAAGTTCTGCTTCCTTACTTGAGATCGCCTCTGCTTTTGATGGAGAATAACTTTTCTTCCTGACAGCCCGATTAGAAGGCGCCCCCGAAGTCGGCCCCTCCTTATTGTGAATCACCTCTGCAGACATGGCGCCACTCCTGCGTTTACCCTTCTTATTTCCCTGCACCTGATCAATGTGGTTTACCACCATCGTCTGAGCCCATGCACTCCTTGGAACGATCACCCGACTTCCGACCAAAACAAATGGCGAGCTGCTGGAAGATATAACCATGGGCGAGGAGTGTGAAGGACGCTCAGTTGAAGAGTCCTCGGCAGATGATTCAGCTATGGCAGGCCTGGCAACTGTAGAGCTGGATTTGCGAAATTTCGGTGACGTGTTGGGATGCGAACAGATTAGTGTTGCTGCTGCCTTTGCTGCTGCAGTTACCGTTGCTGTCTCCATTGCCTTTGGTGTTTCTTCCAATGCTGCTGCCGTCGTTGCTGTTGCTCCTGTTGCTACTGCTGCTGTTGCTGCTGCTGCTGTTGCTCCTGCCGCTGCTCCTGCCGCCGCTGCTGCTGCTGTTGCTCCTGCTGCTGGGAGAGCGACAGCAAAGGGAATGAACTGTGCTTGCCATATGGCAGGCCGATGGAGGGATGCGGATGCTCCTGCCTGCGAATCTTTTTTGGGAGATGAGAAGGATTGGATGCGAGGGATGAAAGCGCTGGCCGTGAAACCTGTCGGCAAAGGCGCTCCCGGTGGACTGTTTAGCAGCTGGTGGGTGGAAACGCCTTGCATCATGTCATGAGCTGATGGGTCTATGGCATACCCTGCATCTCTACCTTGGACGAGCCCTGCCGCCCCATTGTGGACGTGCGGCTCTGCCAGCGTGTGGAAGTCATTTCGTGGTGCGTCGATTCGGCCAACACCCCACCGTGTTGGCCCGCGGCTGACATGTCCTGGCGGCACGCAAGACGGCATGTCCATCATATGATGATTTCCCTGCGCAGAACCATCATCACCTTCCAACATTATGTGACTGTAACGCGGTGTCTCTGTTTTGCTGCCTGCTGTCCATTCCGCCTCCAGCTTCTCCAGCTGTGACAGTAGCGAATCCCTAGCGAAGTTCCTCCGTACTATCGCCACGTCAGCAGGTGCCAGAGTGGCCCTGACAAGATCAGCACTAGTAATTTCAGCTCTCATCATCGTTACACCTTCCATACCGTCGCCACGCGCGGCAAAGGCAGAGGAAGCAGCAGTAGAATCAGGAAACTTCCCGGAATGTGTCGCAGGAAAGATCGGAGCCACCTTAAAGCTCTGCAGCCTGCTGACGTCGTTGTTGGTAATATTTGCCGTTGTAGTGGCTGTAGCAGCAGCCCCAGCAGCACCAGACTGCAGCGTGAGGTCCAGAGTCACTCTGTCGTCCGGAGCCACGATGGCACCATGATGGAGTGGAGGCTTCAAAAGATCTGTCGTCCGTGGATGATAACTTGTCATTGAACGAGGGAGTCCCTGCTCAGAATCAAGGCTTCCTGGAAGGGCTTCCTGCTTGTGGCTCCAGTTTGAGGATGATGCACTGGGCGATTTGTTGGCGCTCATTGCTAATTAGCAAGATCAACAGAACTCGACGCTGCAAAATCGTCTGGCAAAACTTCTGATGGCGCGTGCTCGTTGAAACTTTCACCCTTGAAGGGTGACGACACAAGAAGTGTCGAGTTCTGAAGTCCAAGCGCGCCGCGCGGCGCGATAGTTGAAAACTGGAGGTCTTCACACGGCGGCCCGCGTTGCACAGCAAACTTCAATACAACCCAACAAATCGACGCTGCGACTCGCTCGAAAAGTTTAGGTACTCATTTTATGTTTGAAGAGCCTGTCTTTCTCTACTAACAATAAGATGGGCTCGAAAAGGTGCAGAACTTTACTTGTACTACTAGTTAGAGAAAAACTTGGAACTGATGAGATGACGGCCTTTCAAAGCTGAGGGGGGCATTGGGGGACATATCAATACGTGGTCAGTGTGATCTCAGCATGCTGAGGAGGCATCAAGGAGCGGTGGTGAAGGATGATACGCTTCTCAGTTCCGGTTCTGCCAACTCTGCCTGTACCCCCTCTTCCCTCTCCCCCCCATCCCATCTGCCCAATCCAGCACTGGGAAGGTGTACACTTTTGGGAAGAATTTGGACAGATGCTGTTGTCCCGGAACAAGGAAAGAATGATTCTCTCTTTACAAGAGCCATAAAAAACTACAAGCTTTGTTCGATCTGGAGAGCGCATGAAGGGGATTCTGTGTGGGAAAATATGGTCGAGAAAATCGGGTCTGTGTTGGTAAAAAAATCGTGGAGATTTGATGACAGGACCACTCAGCAAACGAGCCAAAGCAGCCGAGGGTACAATGCTGCTGGCGAGCATGTTGATGCACAGTAATCTATGCTCGTCGTTTTCCTCCTCGCGTGCAGAGATTTCTCACTGTAGATGATCCAAGAAGGGTGGCAAGTGGGTAGGTGTGTGTATATGCGACAGCTGGCAGCAAGTCCTCAGCTTGGAAGATGGCGGGGGCGAATTTCCACATCAAGAACTTCAGAGGAGTTGTACACCCTGTTTCTCGATGTTTGAACAGTCGGGAGCCCCGGTTACAGTGCGCACGTGTGCTTGGATTCAGCGGGCTGGTGCTTGCAACCGAAATGCACTTCAGGAGAACGGTAGACAACGGTTTATGAAAATAAACGTGCTTTTGAGTTTGGTTTCGTGCGGCAAAAGTGCTTATACGGTATGTTCTGGGACCAATTTGGACGCATTGATGTCAGTACAACCGGCCTGTCAATATGGCGAATTTCAGTGTGGCGCAAAACAGGGTGTACAGTTGAAGCGCACGCCTGCCTCCTCCTCCCGCGAATCCTGTTCGAGATTTCTTTTGACCGTAACCCGACCAGACCAAACCCTCTTGCTTTCCTTCATTCCACGCTGCGCCGATAGACCGTGTTTGTGGAATTGCACGCATCTCGCCAATGGCCAAGGTGGTTGGATAACATTTGGAATCTGCCCTTCTGTACCCCCTTGGGCCTCGCCAAACCAAAGGGACGGCGGGGAATCCGTCCTTTGAAAAAGGCTGGATTCGGGAACTCGCATAAACAAAGGGTGTTACGATTCTTCGGGGAGTCACAACAAAAATGATGCTGTCATATGTTCCCAATATATACAAATGAAAGGATACAACTCGATTAAAGATTCTGAAGTT